GATGCTGGCAGTGAAGGTATGTGAGTTCAGGAACCAAAAGCAGATCACAAGGCCAGCCTGGATCCATACTGCAAACTCTTGCAGGGCCTCCTTGCCTCCAGAATCCACCCAAAGATCTGTAACTTCTCAAGTCTGGGTCTTCTTCACAGAGTAGTTGATGCTCTTGATTCTACAGAAGACTCTTGGTAAACACTGAGTATATTACATAGCAGATACAGAAGTGTCCGGCGCTTCCTTCACTCGGGCAGCTCTCACAGATGGATACTTGCCTTTTGTTGTCCTCATAGATAGGCCACGGCAGTTGCAGTTACGCTGGGTGCTGAAGCCACGCCTCTCTCTAGTCTGGCTCTGTGATTCTCAGCCTACTGGTTTAAGTAAAATGGGAAGTTTTTAGAAGACAGACCTCTTGTCTCTGGGAAGATGAAAACTTGGCAGCTTGGCACAATAGGCAGCGAGGGGCAGGCTACAGGGTCAGTAATGTCACCGACATTTCTTCAGGCAGATGTGTGTCATCAGAGAAAGCCACTGAGCCCACAGCTGTTATGAATGAACCGTGAGCAGGGAAGGAGGAAGGACAATAGCTCGGAAGCTTCAGGGCAGCGGTGCTTTGTCCTCGCTTTCCTGTGTTTTCGTGATGCTTGCATCTGTGAGACATTAAAGATATTTTTAGTCCAGTGGCTTCCATTCTTCTACCTTTGTTTACCAAACTTCCTTTGCAGTCTCCCTTGCGTGTACGTCCTGCAGGGTCTCACTGCCCTGAGGCAGCAGAGCGCACCCCTGCTTTAAAACAGACCACTTAAAGAAGCCCTAGCTCTGGGGTTTTCCACTGAGTGTAAAATCTTGTCTGTTCCCCTAGATAGCGTCTTGGCATGATTGATTGTTGGTGCTGGATTTGCTCATTCTTGGTAGAATTCAGGAAGAATTTCTGCATTTCTTATGTGTAGTATATTTGCATGCAGTTGCTTCGTGCTGTTCCTTGGTTTATTTTATGTGCAGGTATAAACTGCGTTATGTATTTATTTAGGATGTTGAAGAAGTGTACGCTGGAGACATCTGTGCACTGTTTGGCATCGACTGTGCAAGTGGAGACACATTCACGAACAAAGACAACAGTGGCCTTTCTATGGTGAGATGTGTGTAGCTGCAAAGCTCTTCAGCATTTGAATTTTAGGCGTCTATTTTATATGGAGTGTATTTTATATGCAGCAAAGCTGCTACAAAGGTTTGCATTAACTGTTCCTCATGGCCTTTGTTGGTTATCTCTGACTATCAGCTAGGTAAGTGCTATGTGCAGGCCTACTTACCTGGTTTTTCTTAGTAAAAACGTTCCACAATCTTGCAAATTTTTAATGTGGAGGAAAATTTCTACTAGATGAAACTTGGAGCATGTAACTCCAGCTCTTCTACTCTGGTCTGCTACCCACTCTGGGTGCCACTTTAATTCTTGTTATTATCAGGATGTTCCCAGTGGAGCACTACAGACTAAATCAGGGACTGAGGAGTGACCTCTTCCAGTAGCCCAGACAACTATAAGGCCAGACTGTAATATTTAGAATAGACTCGGGGATAGCAACATGTCTGTGTGTGGACGGTGTCTTAGTGCCAGGCAGTGGTGGCGCACCTTTAATCCCAGCACTCGGGAGGCAGAGGCAGGTGGATCTCTGAGTTCGAGGCCAGCCTGCTCTACAGAGTGAGCTGCAGGACAGCCAGGGCTGTTACATACAAACCCTGTCTTAAAGAAAAACAAAACAAATAATAACAAGAACAAATTATTCTCTGGGTTTAACAGATTATTATAAGGCCATTCAAAACCCATAAATCTGCAATTTTAAGATCTCAATAAGGACATTTTATCTTTTAGATTAGGCCTCGTGTAAGTGCTTGTCATGAGCTGGGGAGATGACTTAGTGGCTAAGCATCCATCTGCTCTGGCAGAGGAACCAGGCTGGGTTCCCAGCACCCATATGGTACCCTCTTCTGTCCATCCCGGGCTCCTGCACAGACTTGGTGCTCATATGTACACCCAGACAAAACACTTGTACAAGTGCAAAGTCAATGCCTGCCATTGCACTATGGAGCGGCTGTGTGGGGATTGTGCACTTGGACACCGGAGGGAAGGGGCGTGGTTAACCTCACTTCTGCCCAGTTCTCCCTGCCTGCTCCTTGGCCAAGTTACTTCCTGTGTTTTTCTAGCCTTCAGTAACTTGACTTGTGACGTGAGAGTAGTTTTGCTTCTTAGACCTGTCGTTGATCAGGTAAGACGTGTGTATGAAGACTGGGGCCCCTTCTGTTCCCTCGTTATGAATAAAACATAACTCACCAGAGGACTGCAGCAGGAACGTAGAGCAGGCAGTAAGAATATATGCTGTGCCTCCATTTACTCAGCTTCATTGTCGTGATCATGTTCAGTAGTTAGGTCAATAAAGTCGATGAGTTATTTGGGGAGTTAGGGGTTCATGTAAGTATACATCTTTGTTTATTAATGTTATATTCTTACTTTATTTAATACAAAACAGACTAAGACCCATAATGTCCAGCCTGAGGTGTTGGCTAGTGATTGCCTTTTGGTTTGATGTTAATGGAGTATGCCAATTGCTGAATCATAAAACTGTCTTTTAGTTATTTTATGTTTTCTTAAAATTTTTCTTTCTTTTTTTTTTTTTTTTAGGAATCAATTCACGTTCCTGAACCTGTCATCTCAGTAGCAATGAAGCCTTCTAACAAGGTAGGTGTTTAAGCTTTAACAGATTGCTCTGAATGGGAGCTTTCTCTCGTCATGCTCCTTGTTGACATGGCGTCTTGTGGGAAGCAGCACTGAGCTGGTTTCTCCTCCTGTCTGCTTTATTCCACCTGGAAAGACCCTTGGGTTGTGTTGAGCCTGCTCTGACAGCTCACAGGATGCTCCCTCTCTGGAGCTGAGGGAAGTGGGCATCGTAGCCTGCTCACCGTGTGGAAGTACATCAAAGTACAAAGGTATATCAGATGACCGAGGAGGTTGTTTTGAAACAGAAACATCTCGATGTGCTATTTCCTTTGCTGTCCGTCTTCTTCACAGAGTAGTTGATGCTCTTGATTCTACGGGAGACTCTTGGTAAACACCAACTATATTACATAGCGAATCCAGAAGTGTCCGGCGCTTCCTTCCAGACGGATAGTTTAGCAGTGTGATGGGAAGTGAGAGCAAAATCTTAGACCCTTGTTTTCTGTTTTTTATGAAGAGAAAATCCTGTTCAGCCGGCTGGGCCCTGGTCTTGGTGGTGGCCATGGTTTTTTCCAAAAAGATCGGGGTGGGACTAGATATAGACCCTCTTTATTTCTTAGTTGCCATTGTATATGGATTTATTCAGTAACATCTCAAAAAATACAGTTGTTTTTCATGTTTAACTATAATGACTTTTCTTTCTCTTTTAAAGAATGATCTGGAAAAGTTCTCAAAAGGCATTGGCAGGTTTACACGGGAGGACCCCACATTTAAAGTCCATTTTGACGCTGAGAGCAAGGAGACGATTGTATCTGGAATGGGGGAACTACACCTGGAAATCTATGCTCAGGTATGGTTCACAGACTAAGTATGCTTTGGCCTGGCAGAGTGGCCTTCATCCCATAATCACACCTCTGCAAGGTGAGGCAGGAAGATTAATAGGAACACAAGGTCATCAAGATAAAAAGCCAACTGCTGCTCAAAGTACTAAGTTGATAGCGCTTCTCCAGGCTTTGCTGTGGTTTGTATCCACGCATGGCATACTCTAGTGTTTCCTTCTTGTGTTAAAAATTAGTCATTTTTTATCCAAGTCTTTGTTAAACATCATGGATTCCTAGAATCTAGGCTCTGGGATTTGTAATAAGACCCCCATCCATTCCCGGTCGATTATCGGTCAGATAAAGTAAGCCTTGTGGGAGACAGCCTGTTTGTGTGCCTACCTCCCAAGACTTCTCTTCATGAGGACCGGAGAGGTGGCTCAGTGGTTACAGCCGCTTGCTGTGCTTCCAGAGGACTTGAACCCAGTCGCCAGTACCCACGCTGAGTGCCTCTCAACCTCCTTTAGCTCCAGCTCCAGTGGATCCAGTCCCCTATCCTGGCACCCCACACATGTGGCGCATGCATTCAGATACAAACACATACATAAACATGAAGGCCAGGGCAATGGTAGCCTTAATCCCAGAACTCCAGAGTGAGAAGCTAGGCTCTTTCTGAGTTAGTGCCAGCCTGAGCTACAGAGTGAGTTCCAGCCAGAGTGACAGAGGCCCTGTCTCACAAATAGTCAACTAATTAGATTAAAGCATGGAGGGGGTGGTGGCACACGCCGTTAATCCTAGCACTTGGGAGGCTGAGGCAGGCGGATCTCTGTGAGTTCCAGGACAGCCTGGGCTACAGAGTGAGTTCCAGGACAGCCAGGGCTGTTACACAGAGAGACCCTGTCTGAAAAATCCAGAAAACAAAACAAAACATGGAGGCCAGTTCCATACAGATTTAAACAAAACAAAACCCTCTTCCTAGATCAAGTGTAAATATGGTCAAAATGTAAACAAAAGCTAACACTGGGGGAGATTGTGACCTGATTGTGTCTTTGCAGTTAGGATAGCAAACCCTAATAAAAGATTTGTTTTTCCAGTGAATGTGCTAATATGAAACAACAGTAGATTGTGCAGATAGAGCAAATGGTACTGAGTATAAATTAATGAGTCAAAACTGGAATTTACTTTTGTAAGATATGTAAAGGTAGTTTGTGTTATTAGACTATCACATCTGATTCTTGCCAGTTACTAAAATGACTTAAAAGTTACTGTTGTTATTTTCTGTATTTCACTGAACGATGCTAAGGTATTTTTTCTTCCTTTTACTCTATAAAATATAACAGTGTCCCCCCCCCCCCCCCCCCGCCTTCATTTTAGAGGATGGAGAGAGAGTACGGCTGCCCCTGCATCATAGGAAAGCCCAAAGTGGCCTTTAGAGAGACCATCACCGCCCCTGTGCCGTGAGTATACAGTGCAGTCAGATCCACGAGACTGAAGCGGGCTTTTTATTTGGGGATATACACAGTATTGTTACTGTTGGAAAGACATTTTATGTAGTAATACTCTTGCTTATGGAATCTGTGCAGCTCGGTGCTGTAGCTAAGACAAACAGACTCCGTGGGATTCATTTGGTATTAGGCCGGGTGCCAGTGAGGACAGTCATCCCCATCATTAGGAACGCTTCCATTTCGTCTGGGCGTTAGGGGCTCTGTTTACTCCGCTCCCAGGTCCTTCGGGAGGCGGCTGTTGTGCTTGACTTTTGTACCGTACTGTGGATGCCACAAAACTTGCATTTGCCAGGGAATGATCTCCTGCAAGTAAAGACAGTTAGTGCTGTTAGGAAACTAGAAAACATAACTGGGTTTCTACTTGTTGGCAGTATTTACAGTGCCTTCATCAGGAATAGCAGCAGCCTGGTGCCTGCTTGCATTTTCATTAACTTTTATGTAGAGTCCAAAGGCCCGAGGTGACCATGTGGTGACAAAAGAGTTACTGATTTTCAAAGTGGCATCAAATAAAGATAAGTCGTATATTACCTGTGATGCAATGTCGTGGAGTAGAATGGTATAATCTAATTCAATGAAGTCATCATTTCTTGGCTATGACCAAAAAAAAAACATTTAAATAATATTATGGCAAAATGACATCTTAATATTTTTGAGTTAATGTTGATTTATAAAAATGAATTTGAAGTTCATAACTGCCTTCAACTTAGCCTGACAGAAATATTTTCTTATCTTGAATAAACAAATACTTTCAGATCACATTTTAAAAATCATTATTTTGTATTTATTACTTGTGTTTCTGTTTCTTCACTTGCTAAGCCGTGGCAGCTACTTAGAGCACCCCTGTCCGTAGCTTCTTGTCTAGGGAGCCTTAGTGTCAGCCACGCAGTGGGATGCCCGCGGAAAGGAGCCACTCACACGGCGTTCTTTAGAAAACCGACACCGGTAGAGGTGACGCCTGAGTTATCTGCTTTGACAGTCGCGCTTCGTTCTGTACCCTGTTACTTCGGGAAGAAAAGGCATGTGTGCAGCGAGCTCCACAGAACTCCTGCATCAGAAATGTACTGTGCCCGTGAGACTGAGGCTTCTTAAACTTGTCCTTGCCGTGCTGAGACTCCATCGGGCAGCACAAGGCTCTTGTGGGGCTCCCAGCTAACAGTGCTTATAAACATAGACCTAGAATCGCCACTCTCACTTTTAAAATCATAATATAGTGAAGGCTCACAGGTTGCTTTTTTAAAAAAAAATGCACATTAAAAAAAAAGGCTTGTATGTTTCTGGGTGTGTCTTGAGAAATCATGACTGTGGTTTTACGGCCTGTACCTGGCCTGGGTTGATGGTCAGTAGGAATGTTGTAACCAAGGTTGGTGTCTGTGAGACGTCTGTGGAAAGCATCTCACTGTTCCTCAAAGGCTGCAGCATTGGTAGTTCTGGCCTCTCACTCTGAGCTGCTGCCCTGCCAGCAGTTATGGTGTCTCAGGAGTGGTTACCAGGGTCCCCGGGACGCAGCGCTCGGGCTCTTCCACAGTCTGTTGCCTGCACACCGAAAGAGGCAGCAGGAAGCCCCTTTCTCTGTTCATGGAAACTGTCTCTGTGTTCTTAGTACACTTCTTGTTTCCCATCAGCTACTAGTTGAACATCCCCCAGTTAATCTCCAAAAGGAAAACTAAAGAATTTATTCATACGTATTTCTGGTCTAGGAAGATGCATTTCTACAGACCCATGGCATTAGGCTCTAGGAAGCATAAGGCTCATAATACGATGTGAGGTCATCATTCTGACTGAGGGATTACAGAAAGGGATCATGCACGAGCCAAAGAACAGCCAGAACCACCCCAAGCTTTCAAAGACCACGGTAGCCAGGGAACCACCATTCAGCAGGGAAAAATGCAGTTAGTTCAGTAGTGCTTGACAGTAGCAATTCAAATCCACTATTTAGGTTGCTAAAAAGGAAGTGTTCTGTATTGAGCTTAACCCCTCCCCCCAAAAGGCCCAATTTTAACTCACAACTTCACAGTTTCGAAGTGCCCCCTTATATTTGTGAGTGCTATAAAAAGTGGCCCCCAGGACCTTTGTAAAGCAAATTAAAGACAAGGTGGTTCATTACAAGTGTTTAGTATATACCTGAGTCTTTGTCTAGCATATGCTAATAAAGCTACAGCCCTTTTGCTCTGGAAAAGAGTCTAAATAACACATCATAAGTAACTAAGTCTGATTGCCTTGGCATGAAAGATTGAGAACAGTAACTTGCGAAAATGCCATCTGCATGGTAATAGTATATTGTGGAGAGAGAGAGGGGGGGGGAGGGAGAGAACGAGAGAACGTACCACTTGCTTGACCGTTTGGATCTGTGCCATCTTATACCATGTGTCTTCGGTCGAATTCTGCCACATTATGTAACCACAGGCGACCCAGGCTAAGTGGCGAACTGGCTTCATTTGTGGAGACACATTTCCAGAGCTGTCTGGTGGAGGAAACATTTACATGCTGAATGTGATATTAACCTTTTTAGATTAAAAATCAAAATTCTTAGTCATGCTTCCTAGTGTTCTATAATGTGAGTAAAAACTAAATTCTAAATTAAGCCATGCGTGTGTAAAACTCCAGATCCTCTTTTTATTGCTGGATTAGATTAGAAATCAGTACTTTTGTAAAAGTCAGTTTTAACATAGCTAGACATAGTTAGCATCAAGCAATTTTGAGCATGGGTAATCGTACATCTCAAGCGTGTTTCCGTGCTTTATGCGTGTACCTGGAATGTTTTGTGCTTGTAGTGGTTCCTTCATAGACATAAGCCTTTGATAAAATGTGTTATCTTCTTCATCCGGGTTCTTGCCGATTTCTCCGTCAAAAGTGAAGCTGACCTCTGGGGCAGCACCTTGTCCCGTCTGCGGGTAAAGGACTTCTGCTGTGCAGTTCACTGTTACCTGCTGTTAGAAACATTTACTCACGATTGTGCGGTCTCAGGATGGGGGGAGTTCCAGCCCTGAGACTGCCTGTATCCGCTGTTAGTGGGTACCACTTTAGTCTGACCTCACAACACAGGACTGGTCCCTTCTGAGTGTGCCTCCTGTCCTTCCCTGCAGACACAGCGGCCTCTCCCCACTCCAGAAGGCAGGGGTTGAGTAGCAGCTCAGTGCCTTTCAGGGAATTTCCTGAGTTCCTGGAGTTGTTCTCCTGGAAAGGGCGAACTTTCCCGTTTCAAGATGGCTGTGCTGCAAGCTGCAGTTCCCTCTTTTAAATTTATTCCACTAATAATTTGACAGGCATAAAAATTTTTCATACTTTCCTATCCTGTTACTGAAAGATTAGTGGACTCACACACAGTTGGCCATTCTATTGCTCCCAAATTCCTAAGCGTACTTAATTTGAATACCCAGTTAAAAGGCAGGCGTAAGAAAAGCAATCATGACTGGAGAGTAAATTACTACATTCAATCATACCAGGCCTAAGTTCAGACTGCTCGGAATGTGTGATCTTCTTAAGGGTAATTTATCTGAACTGAAATGACTGACTTTCTAAATAATTCAATAGAAGAACCGAGGCAGCGCACGCTGTCTCACACGGCTTTGCCCGCAGAGATGCTGCCGTTTATACGCAGAAATTTCACAGCAGCAATAGTAAAAGCTCAAGATCAAACCCTGCAGCCGGAATGATCTAGAATATTCCGATCAGAATGTATTTACCAGACAGGGCATTTAACTTACTTTTTGGATAATTTCTTCCACAGAAAATTTAAGGTGATACTTGCGCCCTCTTCCTGGAATATCCTGAAATTGAGAAAAATACAGTGGAGAAAAGACATGACAATAAGTCAGACCTTTTCACTTGGGGCCTTCTCATTATTACGTGCCTGGAGGTGGCTGGTGTGAGGAAATACACTTAGGCTTTGCGTCTTTATAAGTATAACACGATGGGTTCATGCTGACAGTTTTCATGAATGTGTGTATTGCTGTACCTCCTCCCCGCTCCCCCAAGCCTTACTTCCTGAGAAAGGCCTCTGTCGCCAAGTGTTTAGCATCCAGTTTGGCAGTCTCCAGCAGATTTGTTTTGGATTAGTGTAGAAGATGGATGGAAGCATAGACAGCAAGTGCACAGATACAAAGGCGATAGGGGATACACCTTTGGAAAGGCTTATCGTAAAGCCCAGGGTACCAGAGCATCCGTCCAGTGACACAGTTGATTAGAGGCAGATCACTGTCAGGTGATAGAGCCAGTGTGTATGCATGCTGTTTGACTTGATCTGCCAAATGCTACTTCAACATATCCTATTAGATATTTCACTTTTAAATAAAAAAGATAAACTTGAAATTTACACCTAATTATCTAGTACAGCTTCAAAAATAAAAACCTTTTTCCTTGTCAGCCAAAAAAAAAAAAAAAAAAACCAACCTGTGAACAGTTAAGATTGTGTCCGATTGAAGGGGGGTGGGCGAGGGGGAGACACGGGAGGGGGTAGCTGAGTCCTTAAACCTTAGCCCAGCTTCAGCCAGGGCTGCGCATCATCTAAGGCAGGATGTGGGTGGCCAGAGCCTGGCAACAGCCCACACTGCTTTTGTCCTCTTACAAGGGGCTTGTTTCTCACGGTTTCCTTTTGGGTAAGGGCCGAAGAGTTGCCTTGAAAGTTTAGGGAGTTGTCTGGAGGCCATGAGCTTCTGTTGGCCAAGACAGCCAGCCGATTGAGAAACAGTGACAGCTTCCAGACTGTTGAGAAAACCTCTTCTCTAGACCTCGTCTCACCGCGGGAAAGGGAGATTTTGTGCGTACAAAATCTGTGTCTGCAGGGGTTGGCCACGGGGGTTCTCTGCAGAATGGTGGAAGCAAACGGTTTGGGGCTTTGTCCGTGGGACCCTGGAGGAATGCGAGTTTGGGAGGCGGAGCTGCGGCCGTAGAGCGGGGGGAGCGAGTGGATCCTAGCTGGGGCTCGGGACTCACCTCCTTGCTGGCCTGCTGGACGGTCTGCACCTGGAACACCTTGTGCGGGGTCCCCTGCTGGTAGTTGATGCAGTTCTCCGCCACCGAGGCGGCCCTGGAGGCGGCATAGTGGGTGGCTGGGATCTCCATCTTTTTGACCAGCGAGTGCGGGCTACCCTGGTTTAAGGGGTTCGCAGTGGATGCAGAGTGCGGCGGCTCGCGTGGTCTCCGAGGTGGTGGAGAAGCCGGCAGCTGGGCTGGGTGTGTGTGATCCTCAGCGCCTTCCTTCCCTCTTCCTCCTTCGCGCAGGAAACTGTTTGGGCTGTGGCTCTGCCGCTAGGAGCCTGGGCCCCGCCCCGGGGTAGGCGGGGGCCTCCTGGAGGAAAGCCCGGGCATTCCCTCAGGCTCCGCTGGCTCCTGGCTGGGCAGGTGGGCAGGTACAGGGGCACTCAGGAGGCAAGGGAGGGTCTTCCAGCCTTGCCTCAGTGGGTCCTCTACAGTTCTTCAGCTGCCTCTGGCTGTTTCACGTACAGATTGGCATATACTTTCCCTCTAATGGGCCTCACAGGGCAAGGTGCAAAGTGCTCCAGGTGTGATCCGCCCCTACTTTCCCGATCTCAGACCTCAGCTCACCTCAGCTCCCTCCCTTTGGAGTATGGTCCAGAGTGGAGAGGCAGAAAAAAACATGCTGTAAAGTTGGGGGACTAATTGCGATCAGAAGAGAAATTTACAGTGTACCCGCAGACCTCCGCTACTGCACTGATCTTACAAATACGAGCCTTAGTGGGCGTGAACCACCTCTCCTGGCTCTCTCTCTTAAACATTTATTTTTATGGTTTTTTCCTATATGTATGTAGATGTCTGTGCACATCACAGACACATCAGATCCCCCGGAGATGGAGTTCTGTGCAGTTGTGAATGCTGGGAACCAAACTCTGCCGTGTGCTTGACTACTAAACCATTTCTCCAGCCCCATCTCTTTTTTAAAAGGTAGATTATTGAAGGATTTTGGGGGCAGACTGCTATGTATGTTGTAGTGACGCTCTAAGAAGAAGGGTGCTGTGCTGTGTGCTACTGAAGTTTTCCTGTGAGTGAAGACTTTTTTGGACTAGGTGGGTTTTTAAGAAATAATAAGCAATATAGCATTTCTCACCTCATCCTGTTACTTCCAATATGAAGTAACTAGAGGATAACAAGATGTTTTTTCTCTTGAAATTGAAGATATATTTCTTTTTCTTTTCCTTTGAATAAGTCATTGATCTATGAACTAGCCCTTTAGGGTGTGTGTGTGTGTGTGTGTGTGTGTGTGTGTGTGTGTGTGTGCTGAGGTAAACGCTCCTTGGCTAGTGTCCAGGAAAGAGTGGCTGTGTAGTGAGTCAGAAGGCACTCTGCAGGGCCTGCAGTATCAAGTTTCATAAGCTTCTAGCTGCATCTCCTGTAATTACTGTAGACTTTTAGTCAGAGTAGTCAGGGCTACAGCGTGGGCTTCTCAAGTCAGCTTTTGGGGAGTCAGATTGTATTGCTACTAATTAGCATAGATTGTGTCATGAAGGTACTTAAATATTCATATCGACCTAGGTTTTCTTAAAATTAGGATTATTACCTTAAAGGGGAAATTTGCTTTCGTTTAGATGTTGAATAAGTTGAACTGCGAGAATATCACTCCCATATCCGTGCCTTTTTTCGAAAGGTTTCTTAGTATTTTGCCTGCACATTGTGTATGTGTACCTGGCGTGTGCCTGGTGCCCGCCTGGTGCCTAAAGAGGTCAGGAAAAGCTTTCAGATCCCCTGGAACTGGAATTAGGGATGGTTGTGGGCTACCATGGTGTTGCTGAGATCCCAACCCAGATCCTCTGCAAGAGGAGCAAGTGCTGACCCATCTCTCCAGCCCCGGTTGGGCCTCTGATGTCTTAGTTACCTACTGTAATTCCACCAGTAATAAATGTCCAGTCCATTCTACTCAGACTTGAATAATGTGCAGACTGTCTTCAAGAGAACAACAGTTATCATGAGTCTCCAGGGCCAAGTAATTTACATTGTTGATTTTATATCACAATGTAAGCATTAAACAAGGCAAAAAATACTGTGACTTGTATGAATGTAAATTCAAAATGGACAGGCATAGTGGCTCATGCTTTTAATTCAAGCACTTGGAAGGTAGAGGCAGGGAATCCCTTAAGAGTTCCAGACTACCCGGGGCAGCATATTGAGACCCTGTCTCAAAAAATAAAAAATGAAGTAAAATTGAATATATGAATTAGAGATAAACAAGACCCCCCACGGTTCTCATTATCATTATGTTTGATATGACATGGTATTTTGATAAGGCTGCCTCTCACAGCTGCCAGCAGTGTGACTCTAGGCTAGAGGTTCTTTGGCGTTCAGCATGGCAGCCGGCCCGTGTGTTTTTAACCGATTCCTGTAAAATATGTTTTCATCAGTCTGGCTGGTGACCCATAGTCAGGGTCTAGTCAGTTTATATTTTCTTATTAGCATTCTAGAAAGATGTTGCCAGTCCTGGTTTTGGTGGTAGGGTGCAGTCACGTTTGTCTAGTTACTTAGCCTCTCCGATCCTCAGGTCCTGTGCCTCTAAAAGGATGGCCGGAAACCGTAATGCTTTCTGGGTTTAGTGCACACCAAGAATTTGACACAAACCTGGTCCTTAACATTCTGTCACTTGGCTTCCTCTCGTTCATAAGTTACATTGTCCCTAAAAGTATAGAATTACGTGGATGTGAGCTGCTTCTTCAGACATTGGTGCCTGAAGGACTCAGCAGTCTGGAGTGCCCTGTATCTGTCCTGTGTGGTCTCCTGGTCGCTGTCTCGGGCTTGCACACTTGAGTTAATGAATGTTTAGTTGATGAATTTTCAAGTTGGTTTAAATAGCTGTGATTAGATTTAACCGTAGTTAATCTCTATAGCACAGATACAGACTATTTCCTCATTAAAAATCTGTATACTTTATTTTGTTTGGTATGGGTTAGGGGTACGTGTGCGCTGTGGTCAGACTGTGGAGAGAGAGTACACCTTGTGGAACCTGGGTCTCTGCTTCCTCTGTGCGGTCCCAGGGTTTGAACTCAGGTCATCAGACTTGACAGCAAGCTATCTTCCCTGCTGAGCCCCCTTTTTGGCCTCTGCTGCCTTAGGGAGCTGTTGTTAGCTGAGAACAAAATGCCCAGTCCTCAGAGAACTTTGAGTCCTGGCAGTACCTCCATTTCCGCACCTGAAAACCCTTCCACTGGATTTCTCTGGTGACTTTGTGAGGGTTTCACCCTCTGCTTCCCTTCTCTTGCTTCTTAGAGATGTTTTTTCCTCTCAGGGAAATTAAGTTTTCACTCTCTGGGGCTTCACAGCCCATCCTGAAGCTCTTGGCCACTAGAAGATTATTAGAAGGCAGTTAGTCAGACACACGCACACTTAGGCTCTTCAGGAAGTCTGCCCCTCCAGACACGCATCTCCTGCCATTATTCACATATGCTTCTTCCCAGCCACTTACAGGCTTGTCCACTAATGTCTGTCGGTCCACCTGTAGATGGCGTACCCACTTTTGAAAGTGATTATCCCCCGAAAGTCTCAGGTTGAAGGAAGAAGCAGCTAAAGGGAGAAGCATCTGGCAAACAGTATCTACGCATGAGATGTTTTTCCTAAGAAATAGCCTCCGGTGAACTGAGAAACAGCTGCCTGTGCGCTGTGTCTCCATGCTTGAGATGCATGTAAAATATCATCCCATCCATTGGCTTGATGTAAACGCTAAGTTCATTTGAAAGCTGTTTTTATGCTTGTCATTATCATTTTGTCATTAATCATTTTTAGGTCTTAATTAGTACATCTGATACTCCCTTTAAATCACCTCTGTATATAATGCCAAATGGTAAGATCCAGTAGAAACTGCCTAAATAAATGAAGTGTGGTCATCAGAGTTCTAATCTTCAAGTAACCATACTTGTTTACTGCGTTGTGTGACATGGAAGGGCAGCAGTCCAGATGTAGATTATTAGAAGCCGTGGACTGAGCCTATTAGAATGATTGGTTGCTTAGGTGATATGCCTCTCGTTCACCCCTGAGTAAGAAGAGAAATGAAGAATTTCTTCTAAATAACTTCTATAATAAATTTCTTAGATGGCCGTCATAGTCAAAGAAAAAGGTTTTAAAAAATATGAAATGTGGATTTTGTGTAAATTAGTGGGCGTTTATTTCATTTTACTGATCACTAACACTCTGTTTTGTCCCCCTGCCTCACTTGCAGGTTTGATTTCACACATAAGAAGCAGTCCGGTGGGGCTGGCCAGTTTGGGAAGGTGATCGGTGCGCTGGAGCCCCTGGCCCCAGAGGAGTACACCAAGCTGGAGTTTTCCGACGAGACCTTCGGGTCCAACGTGCCCAAGCAGTTTGTGCCTGCCGTTGAGAAGGTGCTGTGCAGCAAACCTCTGTAGTGTCTGTCTATGTTTGAAGGCGGGTTATTTGGTGTTAGATCACACTTCTGTCCTGTCGGGTTGCTCTGTCGTGGTTCCTTCCAGTTAACCATCCTTCCTAATGGACCGTTGGGCTCTCCGTCTTCCATCCTCCAGTTCAGGGGCTGTGGACGTGACAGTGGTGTATAATCGCTCTTCACGAATTACTGCTACTGCCTTGATTATACTCAGTCATTACAGTGTGTAGTAGTCTTAGGGGCTTCTGAGAGTTCTGTGTGTGCTGCTGTAGGAATGCTTGTCTGTTAAGACTCTGGCACCTGGCTTCTTCCCTACTGCGTTTTTTGCTGCTGCCGAATGTGTTCTTGGTAAAGGAAGAGCTACTTTGTTTTGAGACAGGCGGTCTATACTTAGCCCAGACAGGCTCGGAATCAAAGAGATCTACTTGTCTCTGCTTCCTGAGTGCTTTGGTTAAGGGGTGCCACTCCATCCAAGCAGAGCTAGTTAAACGATTACCTGCACCTTTCAAAAATACCGAGGTCAGAAATGGTTTTACGTGTGGAACTGCAAAGAGCTGCGGGCCCATAAAGTGCCAGCGCTTGCTTCCCTTTCTCCGGGACTTGTACGCTCTAAGCAATTGTTTATTTTGTAGACAGCAGGTTATGCTTTTGATTTCAGTGGTAATTTCTTTGTTGTTGTTGGTAATGCATTCCACTCTTATTCTAAGATTACCCTTTGCCATTCACACACTTCTAAATACCAGATGTCTCCAAAATTCACAGAATAAGGAGAAGAAGAATTTACATATTTTTCAGCATACATAGTTTACAGTTTCGAAATGTCAGAAGTAACCCGCTGCGTGTGTAGCTGTGTGACGGACCTGGAGGAGTTCTGAAGTATTTAGGTGCCTGAAAAGGAGTTGCAAACTTGTCAGCTCTACTCTTTAAACATACGCCGTTTGTTGTATGTAAATTGTGCCTTAATGAAGCTCTCTTTTAAAAGGGAGTTGCATTTGGAAACCTGAAATTCCCTTTAAGTCTATTTCTTAACAACATCATGCAACCTTATACGGTGATTTTCCTGGTGTGATCTGCCATTCCAGCCGAGTAGTGATGGGTCTGTAACAGGGGCTCAAGCCACAGCCTGTGCTTACACGTGTGTTTGGAAAGAGTTGGTGACCTAAGGCCCTGCTGCCTCTGGAAGGTGTGAGCATTAATAACTCCTGAAGCTGAGGTTATGGGCAGGGATGGTGGTGCCCTTGGCTGCCTTTTCCAGCCTCCTCACACATGGGATTGTTCATCTCATGTCCAGCTTACTCAGAACATTTTTGAAAGGTGTAAACAGCATTATATCTTAATAACATCACATTTCTGACATGTTTTGGAATTTGGGGCGTGCTCTGCAAGTGAAATCTCATTGCAGTTGTATTCATTCGTTGTTAGGGGTTTTTGGATGCCTGCGAAAAGGGTCCTCTTTCCGGTCACAAGCTTTCTGGGCTACGGTTTGTTCTGCAAGACGGTGCACACCACATGGTTGATTCTAACGAAATCTCTTTCATCCGAGCTGGAGAAGGTGCTCTTAAACAAGGTACACTATGTCCCAATGCCCCCCATCTCTGCCTTCCTTGGGAGACCGTCATAGCTTCCAGAGCATCAGTTTGTATTCTCCTCCATGCAGAACTGGGGATGGAGGATGGCAGGGGAGGGAGGGATGCTTGCAAAATCAAAGCCT